AACCGGACACCGATGAACGCTTCTGGAAGTGTTTCCACATCGGTGGAGAGTCAAAGGAAAGCATCGATGTCTACATACTATCTTGCCCAAAAATTTGGCGAATTTTTCTTTGCCACTTGCCTGATTTTTACGAATATTTGACAGCTCCCACAAGAACACTCCCAGCGACGTCGAGACAATGAGTAACGACCACTACAACTGACATCCATAAGGTCAAAGGCCCAATCAAGGTGTCCGGAAAGCAAAACTTCCGCAAACAAGCACTGATGGAGAGAAAATTGCAAACGACTCGAGACATCTAACATTTTCTTGACAATTTTTCAACGAAGATTTGAATATATTCAGCTCGGAAAAGTGGCTAATCTGCATAAAAAAGTACAACTTTTAGACGACTTTTTCGGTCTTGGCGCATGGACTGCGTTGGGGAGCACACGGGGGGGGGGGGGGGTATGTACATGGCGTAGGCATACCGGAGAGCGAAGCACTATGTTTGCAAGTGAGTTTGCGAAGCTCATTCTTGAAAACAATAATGGATGGTTCTGCAGTTAGTCTTGGTGGGAGGCAGTTCCATAAGAGGGATTTTGCGTTTCCTAAGGTAGGATCTTGCAAACCTGGCCTGGACTCTATCCAGCTCAGTCAAGTCGCTTGAACGAAGACGAAAGGACCACACTACGACGCTATACTCAATCACAGGCCTAACATAGCACTTGTAGAGGAGCATCATGGCCTGCGGTGTAAGACGATGTGCCATGTGACAAAGTAGGCTTACTCTCTGCTTGAATTTGCGACTGATGTCAAGGTAGTGTTGACGGAAGTTTAGGTCTGCACTGAAGCGAACTCCCAGATGTTTGAGGATGTCAATACTGGGAAGAGGTAGACCCTCCATAGTGTAGGTGGCAGATTTTGGTGCTGGTGATGATGCTGCCGCTGGCTTATAACGGAAGCTTAAAACAGAGGTTTTTGAGGGCGAAAACTCTCCGCCTCTTTCCCTGGCCCAGTTTTGGCATGCATGAATGTCTGCTTGGATACCAGGACTTGACAGAGAGCCTTTGTACGGCAAAATTAGAGTGACATCATCCGCAAACAAGAATGTGTGCGAATGATGTATGGCCTCTGGTAGGTCATTCATGTAGATCACGAACAGTAGAGGAGACAGATGCGATCCCTGGGGAACACCACAATTGGTGACTTTGGGCACTGACATGCATGACTCAATCTTCACGGCTATGCTTCGATCCTGCAAATAACTCTTAGTCCAGGCAGTGACTTTATGGTCCGAGAATTTTCTGACTTGACGGAGGAGAGTTGAGTGGCTTACTCTGTCAAATGCCTTGCAGAAATCTAGGGAGACCAGGTCGAAGTTCAGACGCTCATCAATGTAGTCGGCCATTTGCTGTGTAAGTATAATAAGCTGGTCTGTCGCAGACTTCTCCTTCACGTATGCGTATTGTTGACTGCATATCTTCTGTTTTATTGTTAAGTAAGCCTGGAGTTGTTTCGCTACTATTTTTTCAAAGAGTTTTGCTATACAGGGGAGGAGGGATATTGGGCGGTAGTTCGTAGGGTGAGTTGGGCAACCTTTCTCCTTGTACACTGGGATAATCGTGGCCATCTTCCAAGCGGAAGGGAACTCGCCTTGCTCAAGACTGTAGTTGAATAGTTTAGCCAGAGGTACACACAGGATGTCCGCACAGCGGCTGAGGACGGCATTTGATAGGTAACTGTCAGCAGATGATTTGTGCACAGACAATGTTCTTGCATCTTCATAGACATCTATGGATTTGATTTTTGTGAACGAAAATGGCTCTTGGTCATCAATGGTGCTGGATGATGGACAACGACTTGGTTGCTGATTTGGGGAATTTGCGGAGCATTGCTTTCTGAAGAATTCACAAAGGATTTCAGCTTTGGCTTTGCTAGATGTGTGGGTTCCGTCATCATCCGCGAGAAGTTGTATTCCACGCGGCTAACTGCCAATATTGCATATCTTCTTTGCTCTTTTCCACCACGAGTAGCCGCCTGCTCTGCCTTTGCTTAGCCTCGATGTCCCCAGTGTAGACAAATACGAGTCTCGAGCTTTCCGTATGGTGTAGCGGTACTCGTTTCTGCAGAGAATGTATGCTGCTTTAAGCGTCGGATTGTGTAGGTCTCGGCGGTGAAGTTTGTACAGGCGTGAGACTCGGTGACGGTTTTTTCTATGCGAGGAAGTGAACCAAAGCTGTGTATTCACACGGAAGGTTTTGTTAGTCACGAGGGTGGACCGTGCGATGGCTTGATCTAACGATGAGCACAGTGCCATGCATCTGTAGTCAATGTGCACGTCCTCCCCAAGTATACACTCTTCCAAGTGCATTATTATTATTATTATTCTCGTATCCGTCCCGAAAGGGACTCACGACGGCAGAATTAACCGTGAGCATGTGTGTGTGAGAGTGGGAGAACGAAATGAACAAGAAAAGAAGAGTCTTGTAATAAAGGTCAAATTTAAGAAGAGCAGTACTAGACTAAATGGCTGAGCAGATGTTACTCCATTGTTTTCTGTCGCGGGCATAGGTGCCGAGATCACGAAGGCAGCTGGGCTTAAAAATGAAGATAGGTGTGAGGCGGACGTCTCGCTGGAGACTTGTGGTGAGGCAAGAGCAGGGTGCACCTATTCGAAAGGGCTGACTGGTAGCATATGTACAGAAAGCAGTGAGAGCAACATTTGCAGGGATGTCACTTGGCTGGCGTAATATATGTCCTAAGAGCTTCCACCTGTCCCGCTTGGCCATTTCAGATAAAGAGCACTGGCCAGTAACAGCATATAAATCTGCATTCGAGATGACATCTGGGTAGGTTATTCCAAGGGTACACCGCAGCTGTTTCCTATGAAACACATCTAGGCGCTTTTCTTGTGCACGGGACAGGCCATGGCAAGCAAGGTTGTAGGTCAAGATTGGTAGAACGAAAGTGTTGTATAAACGAATTTTGAAGGGTGTAGAAAGCAGGTTGTGTTTGAACCATAACTTCAGAGTGTCTCCAAATGCTCTTGCCGCCAAGCCAATACGGCGCGTTACGTCCTCCCCGGAGCCGTATAGCGAGCCGAGTGTCTTCACCTGTCGCCAAGCTTCTTTACCACGAGTTTTGCCGACCTTTCTAGATGTTGTAGAGGTGGCATCTCCCAAAGTGGGTTCCAGGTAAATACGGATCCACTCAGTCTTACTGGTATTGACGGTAAGACCCCATTCGGAGAAGACGCCTGCGATGACGGGTAGGGCGCTGGTAAGGAATGATTTTGATGTGGAGATGAAGTCTACGTCATCGGCGTAAGCTGTTTCTTCAGGTAGAATGTTGTCTGCTGATGGTCGGGCTGGCAGTCGGTCACGTACCATTCGTAGGGCTGCTTCCAAATAAACCGTGAACAGTACCGGTGACAAACCATCGCCCTGGGGGACCGCCCGAGCTGTCTTAAAAGGTGCGGACTGTGCTTCGTTCACGCGAACTGTCAGCGCCGTGCCAGATAGCAGGTACCTAACCAGTCGTAAACCGTCCGCGTCTCCAATTTTCTCTTGCTCCATGACATCAAGCAGCTTTGTGCGGTTTATTGTGTCAAAAGCCTTGCTCAGGTCCAGCCCTAGCACGTAGATAGTAGTGTTGAAGCGTTCAACAATTGATGCCAGGATCGGTTTGCAAAACACAATGTCTGCGGTTGATCTGTTTTGACGGAACCCGGCTTGCGATGGAGATATATATCGCTCTACGTCTGCTCTGATCCGGCTAAGTGTGATGAGGGACAAGATTTTTCTGGCAGTAGTCAGCAATGTTATCGGACGCAAATTGTTCATGGGGCCTTTTGGTTTACCTGGCTTATGCAGAGCGATTAGTACACCATCTCCAAGGGACGCTTGACTGTGCTGAGTGAATACATCGTTGAAAATGCTGCTTAGGCATTCTGCAAGTGCAGGGCCTCCGTATTTGACCAGCTCGGCCGGTATGTCATCAGGCCCGCAGGAGCGTTGGTTCTTTAGACGACTCATTGCGCTGGCTACCTCTGCTGTGGAAATCGGTTAATCGAGGGGTTTCGGTGTTCCTGTGAATGGCGTAACCGCTGGCTCCGCAGCAGTAGGAGAGAATTTCCCAGTGTAATGCTCAGCTATTCTATCCGCTTGCTCTCCTGGCCCAAGGACAGCCTTGCCGTTGTTGTCTACAATGGTTAAATCTCGTGGGCACTTTGGTTTCAGCAGTTTTATCGCTGCAAACATCATTGGCCCGTTCTTGAGCGACTCCACTTCTCTGATGCGGCTCTCAAGATGCTGTAACGCCAGCTGTCGAGACAGGATTCGGATTTCCTTCTGCACTCTGTTACGTTGCACTCGCAGCTCATTTCTTCTATTCATGTTTGGTGTGCTATTAAGATCCATACGCAGCTTCCTCTGCAATTCTGAGAGTTTGTCTACCTCATCCGTAGCGTAGGGTAGCTTGCTTCTGCTCGGTGTGTATCCGACTACTCCAGGTTCCACCTTGCGAATGGATGAGCATGTTGCCGTGAGTCTTGCGCTTGCTTCTGCCACATTGAGGAGTTGAGGTGCCGCTTCTTCCATTTTCGTTTGGTATAATTTCTGCATTTTCTTGTCATTGACCAGTCTCATGGTGTTGAACTTGCGTTTGCGGATTGTTTTGCCTCGGTTCCACACAGGGTGAAGAGCTTTAAATTTTACACGGGCCATAACTAGGCGATGATCAGAAAAGGTTCTTGTGCCAGCGTATGACCTGGCGTCCTGCAGCACAGCTCTTTGTCTCGAGTTACATAGTATGAAGTCGATCTGATTGAAGATCCTTTTACCGGCTGGGCTCTTGCCTTCCCAGGTGGTTAGATGTCTGCTTGGGTGTTGGAAGCACGTATTGCTCATTAGAAGATTGTTCATTTGCGCAAATTCAATGAGAGCGTCTCCATTGGCATTCCGCTTGCCTTTACTGTATTTTCCCAGGCACTCTTCATAACATTGCTTACGGCCCACTTTTCAATTGAAGTCTCCCAGCACCAGCATAGCTGAGCTGCCCCGGACGTCGTGTAATACTTTCGTCAACTGGTCATAAAACTTATCGAGGACTTCTGGTTTTCGCTCCGATACAGCTGACGTGGGACCGTACGCGTTCACCAAGCTCAGCAGAAACGTCCGTTTTCCACCGCTGCAAGATAACTTGAATTGCAGTACGGCCAGTCGCTCGCAGTCCGCCGGTGTCCAGGAGCGGTACAGGAACTGGCCCTGGCGGGGGGCTACCAAGAAGCCCAAGCCGTACGCAGGAGTTTCTGGCTTGAACGTCAATAGTCGATATCCTTCAAGCGTTGCCGTTACGTTGTCTTGTATCTTGGTTTCTTGTAGAGCGACGACGTCCGCGGAGTAGGTCCTTGCATCCGCCACCAGGTCGCGTTTCTTCGCGTCCATAGCAAGTCCACGTACGTTGAAAGTCGCCACTCGCCATTCCGTTGTCAAACAATTACTATCACATTATTATCATTGATAGTCGGAACCATGGAAGACGAAAATAAACAAACGTTGAATGAATGAAAGAATGAATGCGTCGATAATGCCGATAGACTAAGTTGGTGTTATTCCTAGCTTACCAGAGAGGCAAAGAAAGGAACACTCTGGGCAGTCAACCCAGAGTCCACGCTACCTGACGAGCCAGGAGCTCAAAAACGAGCAACCGGCCGCCAGGAGCACACCACTTCTCAGTACTGAGTATTGTGCGCAACTTGTTGAAATTGATTGTTCGTTTCTCTGTGGTGTTCTCCCTAGTCTGACCCTTGGTTGCTCCTGATACTGAGCGATAGATTGCAGACAGTGCTGACCAGGATGCGGAGCATATGACAGGGCAGTGGTCCGTCAGTGGCATCCCTTATGCCGGCATAATTATTGGCATAATTAGGTGTTTGAAAATTTGGAGCATAATTTGGCATCCTTTCGGAGGTAGGAGCATAACTACATGATTGTACCACAGTTCTAGTATGTAGGCTACAGAATTGTGTACAATGCACCTGATCAGTGCTGGTGGTCTGCATCAGTGGTAAAGGGTTTGGAGGTCATGCAGATAGTGTTTTCAGTGAAAAGCAGGGTTTTATGAGGTGTCCCGAAGTGGACGAGATAGTAGACACCCTTAGCAAAAAACGTTATAATTATATAACGGTATTATTGTAAGGGGAAAAATACCGTGATTTGGGTTCGACCTTTAGCAAGATGCACGGTAATTTTAGTACGCTGTTGCCACGAGAATAGAGAGGTTAAGTTTCACGTTTTTTGCCCTTTTTCAAAACGCGGTGCAAATCTCACGTTACGTGTAATTTTTAGAGGTTAAGTTACACGTGCGACGTGCCGTGAAATTTTGCCTGGCAGGATTCGGGTTTAGTTCGCACAAATATCAAATCTTCCAACAAACTTGATAAATCTCGATAAAATTCCGGAAACTCACACAAATTCGGTCCGGAGAACCAAGCGAAACTTCCAAAAACTCACGTCATGAACTTACGTGCGGGACAGTCAACTCACGTAAAACACGTCAAATTTTACGTGAGTTTTTTTCACTTTTTGACGTAAAAGTTCACGGACGTAAGACTTTTACGTGAAACTTAACCTCTCTAATAGCTTTGATTTCGCGCGGGAAACAAGTGGTCCTTCCTCTGCCGGACCTCCTCCATCCCGCCGTCCCTGCTTGAACCGCTGGAACACGTGATCAGCGGTCGGCTCATCCCGGCCATCACGGGTCAGGCTCCACCTGGGACAACTATTCGCTCCCTACTCTCTCTGCCTTGCCGGCTTGGGGGACTGGGTATGGCAGACCCTTGTTCAGTGGCTGAACAGTACACCCCATCTCGAAGGATCACGGTTAGCCTCGTGTCTCGCCTGCTGGAGCAGGAGTCGTCTCTTGGCGACTCTCTGACTCAGCTCCGGACGGTCAAGGCGACGGTTCGGGCCGAGAAGCGGAGCGCGTTCAAGTCTATGGCTGACGCTCTTCGCTCGGATCACCGGGAGCTGGCCCCTGTTCTCGACCTGGCCTCAGAAAAGGGTGCATCCAGCTGGCTGACCTGCCGCCCCTCAGCCGCCATGGTTTCACACTCAGCAAGGGAGATTTCCGGGATGGCCTGTGCCTCCGGTACGACTGGACACCTCCTCGGCTCCCAAGCCTCTGCGTGTGCAGTAAGCCGCTGAATGTGAGTCACGCCCTGTCGTGCCCGTTTGGTGGCTTCCCGACGTTGCGACATAACGAGGTGAGGGACATCACCGCCAGAGCTCTAAGGCAGGTCGCTCACAACGTGACAGTGGAACCCCACCTCCAGCCCGTCACCGGAGAGGCCTTCCGCCATCGCACAGCTGTCACGGAGGAGCAAGCTCGGCTGGACGTTGCGGCTAGTGGTGTGTGGGGTGACCGATTCGAGCGCATCTTTATTGATGTACGGGTGTTCAACCCTTTTGCGTCTTCGAATCGTGCCACCTCCCTCGCTGCTAGCTACAGACGCCATGAACAGGAAAAGCCGTGGAAGTACGAAGAGCGAGTACGTTAAGTTGAGCATGCCTCCTTCGTGCCCGTTGTGCTTTCTGCCTCTGGTGGCTATGGCAAGCATGCCAATGCTCTTTTCACGCGGATCGCCTCTCTCCTGGCTGAGAAGAGTAAGGAGCCATATGGGCAGATTATCTCCTTGCTGCGCTGCCGCCTTGGGTTTGCCCTGGTGCGTTGTGGTGCTATGTGCCTGCGTGGCTCAAGGAGCATGTTTGCTCCTGCCGTGCCTGAGTCCCCTGCTGTGCTAGTGGCGGCGGAGGCACGCATCCAGTGAACCTGCACAGTGCAGTGATCCTACTGAGTGACAGACTCTGTAAATACTGTATCTGATGATTCGTTTTATGTGTTGATTCTTCACAAAATGTCTTATTTTCCCCGCAAAAAAAATTAATAATTCCACTCCAAAAAAAATCGCGCGGTACAACCATTTTTGCCACCATATACGCGATACAAGGTGAAATGCGTACGGACTATACAATATTTGGCCAAAACACGTACCGTTGGTCACAACGATAAATGATATCCAGCTCTGTGTCGGTCTGGCGGCGGAGAAGGGTGCGTCGGCTTGGCTGACCTGTAGACCCCTGAAGGCCCATGGCTTTGCCCTCTCGAAGGGTGAGTTCCGGGATGGCCTTGCGCTCCGCTATGGCTGGCCGCCAGCCCACCTTCCATCGATCTGCCCGTGTGGTGCATCGTTCACCGTCGCCCACGCCTTGTCGTGCTCTCTGGGTGGGTTTCCCTCACTGAGGCACAACGAGGTACGAGATGTTACGGCTGGTCTCCTCAAACGGGTCGCCAACAACGTCACCACTGAATCACACCTGCAGCCGGTGACTGGGGAAGCATTCCGCTACCGCTCTGCCATAACGGACCCCCAGGCTAGGCTGGATATAGCAGCGAGTGGTGTCTGGGGTGGGCGTTTTGACCGCACTTTCTTCGATGTACGGGTTTTTAACCCTTTCGCGGCTTCAAATCGCTCCACCTCAGTACCCTCCTGCTACCAGCGCCACGAACGGGAGAAACGCCGCTGCTATGAGGAGCGTGTTCGAGAGATCGAACATGCAACTTTTTCACCTCTCGTTCTCTCCTCAACAGGCGGCATGGGCAAGTCGGCAACAGCCTGTTATAAGCGGATTGCCGGGCTCCTGTCCGACAAGACGAAGGAGCCGTACAACCGTGTAATGGCGTGGATTCGCTGCCGACTTGGCTTTGCTCTGGTTCGCTCCAGCATGGTTTGTTTGCGTGGTGCTCGGCGACGCCCCATGCGCGTCAGCGATGTGGCGGATGCATCTGCTACCTTGGCCGTTGCCGAGGCCCGCTGCCCTGTGTAACTGACTGCAAGTGGTTCCTAAATCAGTTCCTATTCCTCATTGTTGCTTCTTTTTTCCCCTCTAGTTTTCTTTTACGGTATTATGATTTCACGGAGAAGGCGGAGAGCCCGAACGTGTGCAGTTTTATGTTTATTATTTGCCATGGCGACCCCCACAAGTCCAAATAACTGGCAGGGCAGGGTTGGGCCTTTTTCTTTCTTCTCGGATTTATTTTCATGACATGCTCACTGATGCTTGAAAAAAAAATATAAAAAATAAATCAGCCCCCATAACGTTTATACGCTGCAGCTTCAACGCTATTTGGGTGATCAAGGTCCGAGTACCGTTAAAAATTGCGTTACCGTTGTTTGCTAAGGGCGCGCTCACACTGCGACCATGAGCACGACTCCATGCGTCAGCAAAACGCAGAACCGTGGCAGTCGTGCTCACACTAGGCCTCGTACACGCGTAGACGTGAAGTTGTCACACAAACTTTACGAATTGCAGTTCGTATCCAAAAGAGTTCGTGTGTTTCCTAATAAAGTTGTGGCCCGTTTTGGACGTAATTTTTCGCATGTTGCATGTTGGAGGAAGTGCCTCGTGGCTCGTATTTAGAAAAGCGATCCTGTCAGCTTTTCTATTATTGTGTTCACATGGCAGAAAAAACGACATCGCTATGCTACGTAAGTTTCTACGTAAGGTGCTCGGTATTTCACTTAGGCTACGTAAGTCTCTACGTAAGGTGCTCGGTATTAGATCTACCAACGCGTGGTAGCCGTGTGCTGTGCACGTGCACGGCAGACATTGTGTTCAATTCAGTGCATGCATGCAGTCCGCGGATCCGTGTTCGGATGTGCATGCGCGAGGAACTTCCTTCTTTGGAACTGCTTCTTGCATGAGCTGTTTCGGATATTTCGTCTCATGGCCTGGCTTATTTCGTTTCGGCGCTGCTGAGACCTCCTTTCGCGGAATATTACTCAATGACAGGTGAGTTGACCAGTTGCCTTTGATTCATTTGCTTGTGTTGACTCTTTCATTCAAGAAAAGTGTGCTGATTTTGGGGCGGAATGCAATAAATAATGGAAAAGTTGACAGGATCTCTTTTCTAAAGTTTGCTTTTCTGCTGCCGAGCTGCGGAGGCCTCCTTTTACGGAATACTCGATGACAGGTGATCTCTAAGTTGCCCGGTTTCCTTCGATTCATTTGCTTATGTTCACCTTTCATTTACGGAAACGTGTGCTGATTTTATTCGGATTTAGATCCATTTTTATCTCTTTGCCCTTGTCTACAGTGTGCGAAGAACGCGAGTTCAACTTCTTGACGGTAAGGCTTATGTTAGATGTGTTGTCGAAATACTCATATTCATTGTACATTGGTACGTTACAAGTAAGGCACTGGTCAGTGGCATATTATCGTTGGCAGTTCCCAATCTGGAGGGAGAGGTTCAAGTACCAATTGACCGAGTTCGCAAAATAAATTCGCATATCAGGGGAAATCTCTATTGTGGAGAGGTTCAGTAACTTGTTTGTTTCATACGAAACAAGCCAATAGGTGCAGTCTCGTCTCGTGAAAATCTCGTA